ATTTTCGACGTTTAAACCGTAAGTCCGAGTGCAGTTTTATGTAATAATTATTCCACAAATTTATAAAATCTCAAATGTCTATTTATTTAAAGGATACGACAAAATAGATCATACTCTCTTACTTAGACGTTCCATGCATCGGGATCGAGATTCTGAACTAAAATCGAAGTGACGAAAATATGACGTCACATATAGAGACAAGAGGATGCAAACAGTACTGTCAGTAGTTTTGTGACACGTAGATGGCATAAATTGTTGCATGTATTTTTCTAGTAAGTTTTTGCAATGTTTTTATTTAAACCAACATGTTCCTATGCAGCTCACAGAATTATCGGGAGTTTAGATTTTTTTCACTAAAAATACTTGGAGCAAGTCAATCTCCCATGCAGAGTTGTCGTTCGTTCCTCTATGAGCCGATGGTAGAAAGTGGGAACAAGTTTCAAGTTTTTATTTTTTAGGGAAAGGTTTTTCTTGGTTGTAAGAACTTGTAACCAATCATTTCTCCCTCATAATGTATAGTGGGGAAATTTTTTGAGGAGCGATTGTTTTGGCTTTTGGACAAATTTTTCATATTGTACACATGATGAATAAGTGTAATAAATATAATTTTTGAAAAAAAATGTTCAACAAGCCCCGGGGTTGAATATCGCGGGGTGGGGTGGGGGGGGGGGTCCTGTCCACAAGTACCTGTGCGTTGTATATGTTAAATGACAAAAGAGAGGGAAAAAAAAGATCTTTAATTTAGTTCCTAGAAGTAAGGTCAAAGGATCTAATAGTAAATTCAGTTAGTCTGATGTCTCGACATCTGTTGTTCAGAAAAACTTCTAATTATCTGTAGACATCAAAAATCGATTAGTGCAGGTTTTGTACTTCTATGAATTGTCCGAAGAACATGTTCAATTAGAGGGCTTGAGGTCTCTTCACATTCTTTGTATTTCAATTTTATAAAAAATTCTCATCAATTTATTGATATATACGACAAAAGACACAAAATTTCTTAAAAATAGGTAAATAAAATGAAACTGAAAAAAAACAACATCAAATGACCCTGACCTTGAAGAAATGTTCAAATTCAAGGGTAAACGGTCACCTTGCATTTGACCCCATGCTTCTATGACCTGTCTTTTTGTTGTAAAAGTTATGTTATAATAGTAAGCGCAATGACTCTCAAGGGCAGTAACTTATATAAGATCCTTTCGAACTGATAGATAAAAGTTGAGTCTAAAGATTGAAGACATTAGTGAAGGTTTCATGTCTCTACAGTCTTTGGATTTGGAAGAGTAGTGATAACAAGGTTTTTGCACAATGGGCAATTACTTTAAAAGGGTCAGTGTTAAGGAACAAGACCTTAATTTCTCATTTTTGGAATGACCTTGACCTTAGACCTTTGCATAAATTTCAAGACTGAAGGTCAAAGAATCTAATGCAGTTGTTCCCATGTCTCTTGGACTTACTGTTTCGAAAAATTTTAATTGTTTGTAAACTTTAAAAACTCATTGTAGGGGTCAACAAATACTTTCAAACTGAAAGATTAAAGAGTCTACTTGATTAGATGAAGACTTAAGTGAAGGGTTATATCTCTACAATTTATAGTTTCAAAGGAGTAGCAATAACAAACTTTTTCGCATAAGGGGCAATAACTTTTATAAGGGTCAATCTTAGGGTACAAGATTGAAATCTTTTCAATAGTTTTAAGATTACATATTAATGAAGCAAAGACAAATTGTATATGTTGAAAGACAAAAGAGCTATAAAAAAAAATGCTTCATTATTATTTTTGGGAATGACCGTGACTTTTGACCGTGAAAGCATATTAAAGATCAAAGGTCAAGAATTGCATTGCAATTAACATCATGCTTGTGTGTCTGATAATTTTCAAGTTATAAGGTTTAACAGTAAATACAAAGATGTTAAAGGCCAATAACTCATTCAGGGGGTCATCAGATCCTTTTGCTCTTATACAATGAAGTTATACCTTAAGACTCTTAAGACAATGTACTATATTAGTGAAGGTTTCATGTCTCTACAATGTACCGTTTAGAAGGGGTAGTGATACCAAGATTTTTAGCACAAGGGGCAATAACTTTTAAAAGGGTTAATCTTAGGGAACAAGAATGAAATCTTTGAAAGGGTTTTACAAGTACATATTATTAATACAAAGAAAGAATGTATATCTTGAAAGACAAAAGAGATATAAAAAGAGCTTAATATCTCAATTTTGGGATGACCTTGACCTTTGACCTCGAATATAATTAAAGATCAAAGGTCAAGAATTGCATTGCAATTAACATCATGCTTGTGTGTCTGATAATTTTCAAGTTATAAGGTTTATTAGTAAGTTCACAGATGTTAAAGGGCAATAACTCATATAAGGGGTCATCAGATCCTTTTGCACTTATACAATGAAGTTATGCCTTAAGACCATTAAGACATTAGTAAAGGTTTCATGTCTCTACAATGTATGGTTTAGGAGGAGTAGCGATAACAAGGTTTTCCACACAAGGGGCAATAACTTTTGAAATGGTGAATCTTAAGGAACAAGAATGAAATCTTTGAAAGGGTTTTACAAGTACATATTATTAATACTAAGAGAGAATGTATATCTTGAAAGACAAAAGAGATATAAAAAGAGCTTAATATCTCAATTTTGGAATGACCTTGACCTTTGACCTCGAATACAATTAAAGATCAAAGGTCAAGAATTGCATTGCAATTAACATCATGCCTGTGCATTTTATAATTTTCAAGTTATAAGGTTTATAAGTAAGTACAAAGATGTTAAAGGGCAATAACTCATATAAGGGGTCATCAGATCCTTTTGCACTTATACAATGAAGTTATGCCTTAAGACCATTAAGACATTAGTAAAGGTTTCATGTCTCTACAATGTACAGTTTAGGAGGAGTAGCGATAACAAGGTTTTTCACACAAGGGGCAATAACTTTTAAAAGGGTTAACGTTAGGGGACAAGAATGAAATATTTGAAACAGTTTTAAAAGTACATATTAATGATGCATAGACATTAAGTATATGTTGAAAGACAAAAGAGATATAAAAAGAGCTAAATTTCTCAATTTTTGAATGACCTTGACCTTTGACCTTTACATGAATTTCAAGGTCAAAGGTCAATGAATCTTATGCAGTCGGTCCCATGTCTCTACGACTTTTCGTTTTGAAAATTTCTAATTATTCCTAAAATTCATAAAGTTTCAGGGGCAATAACTCATTGAAGGGTCAACGGATACTTTCGCAATGAATCATTGAAGTGTCTACTATATTAATAGAAGACAATAGTGAAGGTTTCATTTCTCTACAGTTTACTGTTTCGGAGGAGTAGTGATAACAATCATTTCTTGCAAAAAGGGCAATAACTCTGAAAGGGGTCGAAGTTCATATACGCAGGGTCAACTGCGAAAATCTTTTACAAAGTGTATTCTAATGAAATAAAAATCTTTTCGATAAATCTTGAAACAAAAAATCACACGGCGGAAAAATAATAAAGAAAAAGGAAAAGGAAAAAAAGAAACAGAAGAATATCAATAGGTCTTTCCACAGAAAGGTGGAAAGACCTAATAAAAAAAAGAAACAGAAGAAAATCAATAGGTCTTTCCACAGAAAGGTGGAAAGACCTAAAAAGAAACAGAAGAAAATCAATAGGTCTTTCCACAGAAAGGTGGAAAGACCTAACTAGGAGACTTATTGTTCACAGAACAATAAGAGGTCTTTCCACCTTCTTTGAATTTCAAATCTCTTTTATATCTGACTCCTTAAAATTAAATTTCATGAAAAAAAAAACCAAAATTGTCTTAAAACATAGAAAAAATTAAAAATAAAAAAAATATGGAATGACCTTGACCTTTGACCTTGAAAAATTTTCAAGGTCAAAGGTCACGGGTGACAATGCAATTGACCCCATGCTTCTAGGTCTTATAGTTTTCAAGTTATAAGGTTTTATATTAAGTGCAAAGAAGTTAAAGGGCAATAACTTATATAAGGGGTCATCAGATCCTTTTGCATTTATACAGTGATGTTAGGCCTAAAGATCCTTAACACATTAGTGAAGGCTTGGTGCCTCTAGGGTCTATAGTTTGGGAGGAGTAGCGATAACAAGGTTTTTTGCACAAGGGGCAATAACTTTTAAAAGGGTTAATTTTAGGGGACAAGAAGGAAATCCTTGAAATAGTTTTAAGAGTGCATATCAATGATACATAGACATTGCGTATATGTTGAAAGACAAAAGAGATATAAAAAGAGCTAAATTTCTCATTTTTGAAATGACCTTGACCTTTACACAAATTTTAAGGTCAAAAGTCAATGAATCTTATGCAGTTGGTCCCATGTCTCTATGACTTCTTATTTTGAAAATTTTAAATTATTTCTAAAATTCATAAAGTTTCAGGGGCAATAACTCATTGAAAGGGTCAAAGAATGCTTTCGCAATGAAAAGATTGAAGAGTCTCCTAAATTAGTCAAAGACATTGGTGAAGGTTTCATACCTCTACGGTTTACAGTTTCGAAGGAGTAGCGATAACAAGCATTTCTTGCAAAAGGGGTCGTAACTCTGAAAGGGGTCAAGGTTCATTTACGCAGGGTCAACTGCAATAATCTTTTACAAAGTACATTCTTATGGACTATAAATCTTTTCGTTATATCTTGAAACTCAAAATCACACGGCGGAAAAATAAGAAGAATAAGAAACAGAAGAATACCAATAGGTCTTTCCACGGAAAGGTGGAAAGACCTAATAAGAAAAAGGAAAAAAAGAAACAGAAGGAAATCAATAGGTCTTTCCACAGAAAGGTGGAAAGACCTAATAAACATAAGCAAATCAATAGGTCTTTCCACAGAAAGGTGGAAAGACCTAAAAAGAAACGACAGTGTCTAACGTATTTTTCAGTATTTTTATTGAAATACAGTTACACCTTGAAATTTTTTTTCAGTGGCATTCATCCAAATTTGAGCGTGATTATGTGTGCATCGGCGAATGGAGTCTTATATGTTGTTTAATTATCGTGAAATTGAATATTTTGACCACATAGGTATGTGGAAGTGATGATGCATGTTGTGACTCACTTGTTTCCGGATTGTCTTCGAGTACGGAGAGGTTTTGGAACTTAGAGTAATGGCTTCCAAAGAAGAAGACGGTGAAGAAGACATCGAAAACATTGAGGTCCCTGAATCTGTTGCAGGTCAAGAAAGTGAAAGTCCATTACTGGACGATATAACGCAGTTAGAAGGTATGAATTTCCATTCATGTGCATTGTTGGTGCTTTGACAATTTGGAGGTAAACGTTTGGATCCACCACTGTGTCTAATGTGTTTACTTTCCGTCTGAAGATCTAGGGCGATTCCTATTTGTGTAATAAGGGGAGGGGGTTATGTGGAAAAAATGAGTAGTCAGATAATTAAAAATCATTATGTATAGTAATTAGGATAATCAGTTACTTAGGTGGTTTTCATTTGCTCTCGTAACGTTTTTCTGATATAACACACCACACGAAACTTTGTCCACCAAAAAGAGCCGAGGGGCATAAAAATGTGTTAAACCTTATTATTACAGTAATGCTCTGTTAATTGTTAAAGTAGATTTCAAGTCATCAATCCCTATAGTTTATCTAGCCATATCAGCATTCAGTTGAATTGTACGCTATGAAGCACTTTGATTTTGGCCAAAATGAGTTTTAAGTGTGTAGGCCTACATGTTGAAAACTATTTGATTTAGATGTGAACTAATTATAAACTAAAGTCTACTCCTGTTGTCCAGATCCATCATTGTTTGATTTGGGACCAAGTGTCAGAAGCTAGGTAGGTTTCTATGTTTATAATTCAAGAGTTAACTGAACAATCAAAACAGGGATTTAATTTTATACTGTACAAAAGTCTCGATTAAAAAAAGGTGAGGCCGTGTAATTCAATTGTTTTTAAAATTATTGAAAAAAAATTATAAGCCTGGGTGTAAGATTATAAGCATACAGAAGCTAATCCTAAACTGAATGTTGACGGGAGATAAGGAAGGTACACTTAAATTAGTCTGTCAGCATACATTTAGTTCCTGATTGTCATGTATCCAGACAGTGATATTATATATATTATATATGTTTATTATAAATTTTTTCTTTGATATTGCAAAAAAAGAATACGTTTATTTGATAAGATGAATGTTTTTTAAATAGTAAAGTAATAGCTATTCTATTCAGTAATATTGGATCCATGGTCTCTGTAAGCCCTATTCATCTACAAAGTTTTTAAATATATATATATTTTGTTAATTGCTAAAATTGAGTATGTTCTACATACATTTGAGTACAGTCACTTTGTCATACAGCTTCTAGTTAGATTTCAGGTCCAGGTTGAAAGGAAATTCTAGATCTATATTTTTTTTTATAAATTTTTCAAAGAACAGTTTCCATCAGCTTGTCAATTGTCAAATGGTACTCCACCATTTGATTGAGATGCAAACAAAATATTTATTATACCCTGATACTTACTTTTAAAAGCAGAAAAAAAACTTCCCTAAAACAAGATCCATTGAGTGAGAATAAACTAAAGATACAATTTAACATACTGCAGGGATTTTCCACTGCCCTGTGTAGGGCACAGGGGCTTGTCTTCTGGATTGTTAAATGTAAAATACATTTAACAATCCGGAAGACAAGCCCCTATGCATTTTCCCCCAAAATTAACAGCCTGCGTTCAATTTTTGAAAAATTCATGTTTGACCTCTGAATAAAATGAACATAATTTTTGAAAACTTGGCTAAAATGTTATTATAATTGATCTATTCTCTGAATTTTAGTTCCAAATAATGAAGTAAAAAATCAATTTTATATTTTATTCATCATATTTATGTTTATTTCTTGAAAGACATCTTGCTATAAAATTTCCCCAAAAGTTGTGAAATTTTGTTCAATTCCCAATTGTAGGGGCCTGGGCCCCATTCCCAAACTGGGGTGGAAAAGTCCAGAAATAGGTTGATTAATAACTGAATATGCTGAGTTTTTCTAAGTGCATTCTAACAGACCATATTTTACCATATATATTTTGTCTCTTCAAATTGTTTGTATTGCATTCATTATACAACGATACAGCAGTAAGTTCCTTTCTCATTTTTGAGTGTTTTTCTGCATTTTGTACAAGAACAGAATAGACCTTAAATATGGCTGTGTAACAAAATTCACTAGCTTCTAGGGCCTTTACCTCCAAACCCCCTGTCTACTCGGGCTTCCACATCAAAAGTACCCTGGCTACACCCCTGAGAAGTTACAGAAATAATGGTGTCAGCATACTTATTAATTATTTAGGACAGTATGATTCAAAATATGCAGGAGACAATATGGTATTTCTTTGATATTCCTATGCCATTGAAAGCCTATATACAAATTAAAGTAACAGGATCTTGCAAACCGGTTTTTTTTTTTTCAGTAAGATAAATGTCTTGAGTGAGTGTCATACCAGGTTACATTTTAAATCCATCTAACCAGGGGGATTAGGTTTCCTCTGCTATGAGGATAGAATGTATTGATGCATATAGTATTCCTTTCATAATTTCTTTGTCAGATGCAAAAATTTTAGTGACATCATGTTGTGATAATTCTCTCAGTTTATATGAGACATAATAAAGAAAGTGTTTGATCATTGTTTTCAAAAAGTAGGCAATGTTAAAATTTGCAAGCAAGTTATTTACAAATGGTGCAAAAATAATTTAAAAAGTTAATATTGACAACACCATCATACGTTGGCATAGTAGTCATGAATAAACAACAAATTAACATACATAGAATAAAAATTTCAAAGTGAGAAATCAGGTTTGTTGAAGATTTTCTTTCCTTCATGTAACATTGAGAAATTTGGTAATCTACATTGATCATAACTAGGAAAATAAAGTACAAAATTTTCTTCATTTTCAATTAAAAAAATTACAACAGTGACATATACACATTGTTTTCTCTAGGAATAGCCGGCCTTGGGTATCTCCCTAATTCAATATAATTCATATGAGAACTAATTCTTAGTACATGTTTTGTTAGGATTGTTCTTCAAGATTTCTTGGTAATTGTAGATAGTTTTTTTTGTAATTTATATTCATTGAAATGAATTACATTACTATAAAAAGTTAATTTTCCACAAACTGATTTAGAAATGTTCTTTAATTGTTCACTGGTTTTGTTACTATAATGCTCCTTTAAATATTTTAAAGTTTTATGTGATTTGTCCAATGAAGATATATAAAGACAATTTCTAATGTTGAGTAAAAAAGTTTTCTTTGCCAAGGGCAAGGTACTCTAGACCTCTGTTTTATCTTCCTTAAATGCAGACACCACTAATTGGTCATTATTCTCATTCTCTGTCTCTAAGTTTTTAATTCTTAAATAAAATTTAAACATATTTTCATGACACAAACAGCAATGTTAGATGATTTTCTGTGAACACCCAAGATGTCTTCAAATATCTGGAGTTGTATTTTTTTCAAATAGAAAATGATCTGAAGATAATAAATCAAATTTGTAGTCTGCAATCCAATTTCAGAACCATAAATAAAGCCAGGTAATTAAATCAAGCTGAAATCTAGAGGTAAATTTAATATAAAAAAAAGAATTGGAAAAAAAACCCTTTAATTTCACAAGAAAGGGTCATATGTAACCTGTTAACATATTGTGAATGAGCTAGCTTATATGAAAGAAGACTGCAGTAGGAAATTTGTGACATCAGATTTATACCCTGTCTATACCTATTAATCTTTTCTTCCTTTTTTATTCATTTTGGTCATTGGTGCATCTAAAGAAATGTGTTCTAGATCAAAAGAATTTATAGGTTTATTTCTCTTAAGGATGTATATAATATTTATAGTCTTGAGCATAGGAAAAAAATTTTAAAAAAGAGCTTTTTATTGGGAAACCTAGTTTTGAATCATACAAAAATAAAAAGAAAGTGATATATATATAATTGAGAAAATTATGATGCTTTAAACTTGTATTTTTACACAACCAATAGACAGTCTTTATCAAAACTTTTTTTTTTTTAATTATTATTTATCTTAAAAATTACTATGCATAATTCCCAGTATATGTTTCATAAATGCAGTTCCATACAGTTTGTACTGTATGAATGCATCATAAAGTCAATAAAGAAGTTCAACACTTGTACAATACCAGTATATTCAACTTTCTGTAGGTAGACTATAGGCAAACACTCCAAACAGCTAGTAAACAATTTTTAAAGATTTCAATACAAAAGTTTTATGGTTAATTTTTTCCTGTTTTTAAGTGGATACCGTTATTTTATTGTTTCATTACAAATCCTTTTTATATAACAATTACATGCATTTGACACTTGCCTTTGTGATGAATCCCCATTGTAAATAACTAAGTTGGGAAGAACACTGAAGAAATTGCTACTAATTCTCTTCTGTAAACAACATAACCTAGGGACATTTGATACATTGTCATTCCTACAAAGAGATCAACTTTCCATGACAAAATAATTTGTGGTCCTTGACCAGAGTGAACTTTCCTCTAAGTTCTTCATTCCGGGGATTATTTTGTTACGATTACATGACAGTTGTGTGCGTGCACTGTAGACCCTTCATCAGAAGGAATGTGTATTTTTTGTTGTTGTGATTCATGTGTGAAATCAGTGACATATTATAAAGTGATCATTAGAAACACTTGAGTATGATTAACAGTTACTGTAATAGATAGTTCACGATTTATGGCAAGGTTGTATACACACGTGGGTCAACACCAAATTTATACCTAGAATTATTCATGATGTGTTTTTTATATTGACGTTTGTGTCTGTATAATGGAAGCTTCTGATTATCTGAGATGAATCGTCGTTTAGGATTTCGGGGACGGTGCCAGACAGACACGGGAGTCATTGTGAGGTTGAGGAAGAATCCACGGCTCCAGAAGAACCATAGATCTAAAGTCGTGACCCTGCTACTGAACAACCATGATCTGGAGCAGGATCTACAGGGTGATATCCGGAGTAAACTGCCCAGTGTCCGGATCAGGAGGTTCACGTCATCCAGGTCCATCAAGGACCGGCGGAGGGACCTACACAGGATCAGCGAGGGCCGATACGTCAGACCCCGACCCTTCTGGGAGAGATACGAGGACCTGAAAAACAGGAATAGAGTGTCCTTTAGAAATGTGGCTAGGGCAGTCAAGTAAGTAGTCTGTAGAGAATTAATGGTCTTATGGTCTAACAGTCAAACAATCCAAAATCTGATATACAATGAGCCAAAACCATGTATTTTATCTAACGTTAAAATAAAGGTTGCTGATTTAAAGGACTCAAATTCAAGAAAATTTTTATGAGAATCATTGGCCAAAAAATGGTGAGAAAACTGAGGTAGCCTGATGGCATTTTTATTTCACACTATGAAACAATAACTTTTGTGAGATGTAAAAAGTTTAAATCACCCACAAAGCTACTGATAATTTTGGAGATACGGTGTCAGAGAATTGTGTTTTTTGAGTGACATAGCATGCTAAGGTCACTGATTTCACAGATTGTTTACTTTTTTGTAGAGTGTCAACCTTGGAGAGAATAGAAATACAAGCAAGGGTGGGTATAGCTTTACATTTAATACTGCAAATAAGGAAATATAATCAGCAGATCATAGATTTTATTGTCAAAATTCAGATATGACATCAAGAGGGTTTTATACAAGCATAAAAATAAAATAAGCCAGCTGGAAGAAACATTTAATTGTGAATCATAAGTCAAGTAATAAGTATACCTACTGGCTATTTATAATTTATGGCTTAATGTTTTCTGACAAGTTCGTGTAATAATTTATCAGTCAGTAATTACTGTCCATATGAATTACAACATACATGAATAACTTTTTATTAGTTAAGGCAGTGCAAATAAACATCAAGAAGTGAGTTTTTCCTGTTTAAATCAAGTGTTATCATCTAATGCATGCACCCTACCTTAACAAGTTATTTGATACCACATACTATGTCGTTGAAAAAGATGTTGACACAGTTGTTTTTATAATTATTTTTTATGCATGTTCTGTAACGTGCTTTCTATGTTTTTTTTTTTTTCTATATAAAATTGTCTAGTATCTTTAAGTTTTACTGAAGTGGACTTTCATTGTTTCAAAATTAATAATCTGAAATACTTTAATTTCTATTTATTTTTGAAATGCCTTACCTAGTTTGATTACAACAATATATATGTAAAATGTTTTGAAATCTGTTTTCTTGAATTCATTTGACAGATACTTTAAAAAACATACAATTTAGTATATACACATACTTTTTTTGTTTTCTAGAAATGGCACAAATGGAGGATGATGTTCAAGGACATTCGTCAATCCGTGACCTTGTTCCACGGAACTCTCAGACAAATCGAGGGTAAAGTATCAAGATCTTATCTCTCATATAATTATGGTTTTATAACCAGAAATTTTAAAAAAAACTTCAGACAGATATATTCATATTTTGTCATCAGCATTGAATGCTCTTTAAAAATATGCTAGCATATACCATTAAAGTAAGAACGTGTACATAAGCAGTATGTTTTTACTACAGGTCGGTATGGAATGGCCATCATGACCTACTTTCGCTTTGTGAAATGGCTGATGTTCCTGAATTTTTACATCATGGTCATCATGTTCACAATCCTAGTGATTCCTTATGCTGCCCTCAATTCCTCAAGTTTTGATCTTTATGTGAGGAACATTACTTCTCCAGAACTTAATGTCACAAGTGAGGAGTATACAATGATAATGCGGACAGTGAACTGTACCCAGCAGTACATTAAACATATAGACAAAATACATGGGCCTTCACATTCAAAGGCTACTTTATTTCTGGATCTCATACAAGGCACGGTAAGCATTAACAATGTTTATTCTAAGTATGAAACGTCCATTCCATCATGATCATAGCTGTGCTTTTCTATTGCACAAAAATAAGAGCAGAGTCAAAATATATTAATTAAATTAAAAAATTGGGGGAATGATTTTGTCACTGAATATATGTACATGTATTTCCTTCATTTCTCTAGCACATTCAAATCTTGTATGAAGTGCTTCTTTTTTGTGGTAGAGTGTGTTGAAAAATACTCATAAGTAATGTGTGCAAGGAAAAATTGTTGTGACTTAATTCATATAATTGCTTGTTTTCTCCAGGGTTTTATGGAGAGATCGATCATGTTCTATGGAGCTTATAAAAACAGGACCCGTACAGACAATGGTCAGGAGGTGGTGTATAATGTAGGAGTAGCCTACCTCTGCAGCGTCTTCTTCAGCCTTCTCCTCAGTTTTATCCTAATCATCAAAAAGTAAGACTCTTATCATCAAATGCTGTATGAACCCCCCCCCCCCCCTCCACCACCATCACCAGCACTGCCATCACTTAACACTGACCAATACTGTATGACCTGAAAAACAAGACCTTTATCTTCAAAGATTTTTAAGTTAAAACTGCTGTCCTTGACCTTTAAGATATGACCTTGTCAATGTTTTACACACTATAAGGTCATGAGCATCAATGTATAAATGTATAATTTTCTTTTTTATATAATTCAGACCTAAAAAACTAATTATACCCCACGCAACAAGTTGCATGAGGTATAATGTTTTTGACTCATCAGTCAGTCAGTCCTGGCCTGGGGGGCATAGAATTTATACGAACTCACTTTTGATCTCAGTCTCACTTTTACCAAAGGAATATATAGCGGAAAAGTGAGACTGAGATCAAAAGTGAGCTCGTCTCACTTTTATGGCCCCCAGGCCTGTTTTTTTGTCAGCACAACTCCTCATAAACTGCTGCACAGATTTTCGTCAAACTTTGCAGATATTTAGAATATAATGTGTAGATGTGCATATAACCAGGAAATTCCGATTCCTTTATTTTTTCCGTGAATTCCACACTTTAAAACTTAGATTTTTGGCCATATCTTGAATATAGAGATGAACAGTTTGTCAGCACAACTCCTTTTAAACCGCTGCACACAATTTCGTCAAACTTTGCAGGTATTTAGGACACAATGTGTAGATGTGCATATTGCCAGGAAATTCTGATTCCTGTATTTTTTGCGGGAATTTCCGCACTTTTCAACTTAGATTTTTGGCTATATCTTGAATATAGAGATGAACAGTTTGTCAGTGCAACTCCTCTTAAACCGCTGCACACAATTTCGTCAAACTAAGCAGATATTTAGGAAACAATGTGTAGATGTGCATATTACCAGGAAATTCTGATTCCTGTATTTTTTGCGGGAATTTCCGCACTTTTAAACTTAGATTTTATGGCCATATCTTTAATATAGAGATGAATATTTTGTCAGCACAACTCCTCATACAGCTGCAACAAGTTTTGTCAAATTTTGCAGATATTTAGGACACAATGTGTAGATGTGCATATTACCAGGAAATTTTTATTCCTTTATTTTTTCGGGAAATTTCAGCACTTTGACTTTTGGGGGAGCGTGGGGTATGTGAGCTTGCTCACTTTTTCTTTCATTTCAATATCTTTAAGGATTGAAGCTTACCCTTTAGTCAGCATGAATATTTTTACATTATTTAACTTAAGTCTTGAGTAATTAATAATTAACCTAAGTTTCAACCATTTCAGTGAGACGGTTCTAGAATTATGACCCTACATCATTTATTTGACAGGCAAACAGACCAAAAGATGTTTTGGATTTGATGCTTTGAGTATAATAAGAGATTATGGATTCAAATTTCAGTTCTGCCAAAAACATGAAAGCCTCCCATGGTGTAGAGAAGTCCGTGGCACAGTTTACCAATAAAGTGTTTGGTGGCTGGGACTACTGCATTAAAGAGGTCAAGGCAGCCAGTCATAAAAGGAACGTCATTGGAGTCGCATTAGTGGTACGTGTTATAACTTACTAACAGTGACTGGTAATAATCAACAACAAATAGTACACAAAAAGAAATGATTTTAAAGAAATTGAGTTAGGGCCATCAATTTTTTTTCTCTAATTTAAAAAATAAATTAAGTTCTTTGATGTATATATATTGTTTGATAGCTATTCTTTGTTTTATATAGGCTGACCTAGCAGACCAGGAGCGTACAAAGCGGCTTGGTCTCCGTACATTGGTGGACTGGTTAGAGGTGTGGGGGATGAGAATCGTTATCAATATCCTGGTGGTCATTCTCCTGTGTGGATCCCTGGCTCTGATTGGACTCACCACATCTAAGATGATAGATGTAAAATATATTAAGATTCTACACACTGTGTGTTACAGTTTATGAGATAATCTTAAGTGGCAAGAAATTACTTCCTGCTGATTTTAGATTTGAAGCAAAACACTTCTCTTAAGTGTTGCACTCACAGTTTTATACCTCTGGGGAATTTTTTTTGTAAATGTAGGTACATGTATTTGTTTTTCATCTTCCTACTAATGCAGGGGAACATCTAGTAATTGTCCCATCAAGCAGTAAAACAAAATGTGTAGCTTAGCACTGAGCATTATAGAGCAGAATTTAAGCTGATTTACTGATGAGACACATTTTTTTTAACAAATGATTGTTTCCAAAAGAATCAGATGTATACAAATTTTACATTTCCTTTTAGGAAAGTGATGGAGAAGGTTCAAGTGCAGCTTCTAACCTGTTCTTCCAGTTTGTTCCTCATCTAACAATTAATTTGCTGAACTTGGTTGTGCCTCGAGTCTTTCAGAAGCTTGTGATATTTGAAGAGTACACACATGAATTTCAAATTAAAATTACACTCTTTAGGTAAACAATTTTTCATACAAGAAATATACATGTACAAGAGAAAAACTTAGTGGTATCTGCTCATATGAAAAGCATGGTTTACCTGAATAAATGACTTAAAAAGCAGTTTACACTGTTTTCTCAGGAGTAAGTACAGAAGGCAGTAAAGTAATATACACATAAATTAAATGGCATCAGGATAAAAATTTGTGTCAATACTAGGGATGGCAATTGAATTGCTAATCAGATAATCACAATATGGTGAGACCAACTACTTACATACTCCTAATATTAATATTATTTCAGGAGTATCCTTCTTCGGTTAGCCTCTCCAGTAGCATTGATGGTTATGCTGTACCATAAGTTGTTGTTGGAAGATGATAAACAGAAAATTTGTGGAAACATTCAATGGACAGAGGATGATGACCCAAACTCAGTCAGGGTAGGTGCATAACCCCCCACCTCCCAAAATAAAATTTTTCATCTGTTGGTATTTTAGCTGCAGTACTATAGCTCTGTGGAATAGAAATTTAGACAAACTACTAGGGTTGTCCGTAAAGTTCGTGGACAAGCTAAAAATTTAATGAAAGTTGTGTCATTGATATTTATTATTGGCATATTTCTAATCTTTTACTAAATGTGAATTGAAAAATTTGAAATTTCATTGAATTTCAAATGTTTAATTACAATTATGGCTGCATAATAAGACTTGGTATGGAGACTCGGAGCAGTGCAAAATTTTAATTTAAAAAATTACCGGTATTTATCACTTTATAAATTTCATTTGTTTTTTATAAAATTCTGGGGAAATCTGGAAGAATTTTACATTATGAGGTTGAAAAAAATTTATCACGTCAAATCTGCAAATTTGAACGTTCAAAGTTTCAAAATGGCTGAGCAATCAAAGTTAAAACATTTTAAGACAGGGTCGGAATTGTTCAAAAAAGAGACATTTTCGGGATATGTGGAGCAGTGAACAGTGATAAGATTCTGCGTAGACGTCTGAAAAACACCTACAAAGACCATACATTCTGTAAACAATTGGAAAAACATAGTAAAAGAAGTCGTTCACTAGTATTTAAGTGGCATATAATATTTTTGGACGTTTACTGGATGACATGCATGAAGGAAAACCATCATTCCGAGATTGCAGTGCTGTAAAAAATGAATTTCGTTACGTGATCATGTCTTTGCCGTATTTCTGTAAATAAAATCGTCTTTACATGGACAGAGGTTGGATGATTGCAGGATATGAGACAGGCATTGTTAGATATTATTTTACGAATGAAACCTGAACATTTTGTGCACATTTTTATGACTGGTTAAAATGACATAAGAAATGTATTGAGTTAAATGGTGACAATGTTGAGAAAAGTTACATGTGCACATATTTAGCTTTTGAGGTCGGGTAACGTCAAGAATTTTTGTTTTAGTGTAACCCGGGGTCTTAGGGCGATTCGTATTCAGTATGGATGGATGACTAACTCCAGTAACGTTTACACCATTTATTTGGATTCATTGATGAAATGACAGATGATAGAGTGATTCAGATTGACCCTGTAACATAATAAAAGCTTAATAAACAACATTGTAAGAAAGATAACTCTTACGCTCATGTTTTAGAATAAAATGAAAATAATAGTTATTTCCCTTTATACACAAGACTCAAAAATATTTGTGTCTATCAAAATATCTATGATTGCTCATTATTATAATAAACAAAGTACTACAAATATACTGATAATACATTCAATCAAGTTTCACTGTATACCATCATGTAAATCCTTATTTCACATGAATTCATAAAGAAAATATTTACATGTATATTTCACCAGTATTGTGAGCCTAGATGTATCATGACATATATATTTCAAACATAATACTCTAGAAATAATGCTTACCTCACATGAGGTGTAAAGGTCATCTTACAATAAGTAATCTACTGTCTACATCCTTTGATCATGAGAATTCTAAAGGTAAAAATAAATACACTAACTTCAGCTATTCAGTTCACTGTGCTATATCTATAATTATATGTTTAAATCCTGTATTTCTTTACAAAATAAATGTTACACTTATCCTCATGTTTTCAATGCAATCAGCCATTTAAATAGCATATGTATCTAAATATTTCTAATATCATAAAACAGATATTTATGTATATAATATAAAGACTATATAGGTAAATACAAATTAACTGACCTGATAATGAGAAAAGATTCCAATTACTGTAACAGGTATAAAATTCTGGACAAAAAAATGGATGACACAACAAAGACTGCAGCACAGGAACTATACATTTAACACACAATAGAAAACTTCCCTCCAAATGTATCACATGACTAAATTCTTTACAATTGACCACACTGACCAATAAAAAACAAGGAAAAGGGTATTCCCTCTAAATATAGATACAGTGTGCAAAAGTTAAAAATATTCACATGAGTGATACACTTATCTTAGAAAATAACTTAAAGTAGCTTTAATATATTAATATTCAACAAATTCATGATTCAAATAATTTTTCTAAATAATGAAAATAATAAATTGAATAATCATAATAAATTGATAAAAATAGCTACAAATTTCACTCTGCCACATACTCCCCCTGGTTTGAAAAAATGACGTCCCGACATTTTATTTCACTTCAAAGTCTGAGATGGATGTGACGTCAATATGTCCAGGATTGCCTTCCCCGCTTCAGAACGCAAGTTTTCTAATAAGGGTGAATTAGCTGCTAAAGATGTAAGGCAGTTGATTCTGTCCTTCCAATCTTGTGTCAATGGTATCGCAGACTTTGACATCTCGAATTCGTCCGATCTATATCGCATAGGTAGTCTTCGCTCCCTAGTTGATCGACGTAATGGAACTATTGTCTCTTGATCATTCTCATCTGCATGAGTTGTATCTTGTTCATCAAGTGTTTCTTCTTGATTCGTCTCACGTTGCGTAGCGCTACTGTTGTCCCGCATAGAGATATCTTCCTCAGCACTCATTGTGTCTGTAGAAGGTTGGGCGTCCCCTTGTACCTCTATACGGCCTTGTTGAGTATCTTGAGTATCAGTCTGAACATCAGGTTCACCAATAATATTTGAATTATTGTCTCTCTGTTCTTGACTTATTACGTTGTACCTCCATTCCGACTCATCGTCTGAAGAACTTTCATCTAAATCATCAGAATGGGAAAACTTTGGTTCCATTTTCTGTAACTTGGATCTTCTCTTTGCAGGTACAGGCTTTTGGGATTTCAAGTTTACAGGTGTAGGTGTGTCGTTGAGAACTCCAATGGGTAATAGAAGGTTACGGTGCAGTGTTCTCTTACGTCCTTCTCCGTTTTCCTTCTTTACTACAAACACGGGTATATTCTCATTGGGTTGTCCGATAACAATGTACGGATCTTGTTCCCACCTATCTGACAGTTTATGTTTTCCCTCGAAAGCGACTATTTTCACAAGTACTCTGTCTCCGACTTTCACTGTGCCACCTCTGAGCTTAGTATTATAACATTCCTTCTGCTTGGTTCTGGCTTTGTCTGCTGCTTCTGTTGCTAACTTGTGAGCTTGGATTATCCTTTCTCGTAAATCTTTGATGTATTGTGTAGTTGGCTCCTTTTCATTCACACGTAAACCAAATGCTACATCTACTGGCAATCTAGGATTATTTCCGAACATCAAAAGATATGGTGTTTGACCAGTACTATCATGACGGGTACAGTTATATGCATGAACCAGTGGATTTACATATGCTTTCCAGTTGGCTTTCTTACTTGGATCTAAGGAACCTAACATGTTGAGCAAAGTACGATTAAAGCGCTCACACATGCCGTTACCCATTGCATGGTAGCTGGTAGTTCTGGACTTTTTCATTCCCATGATTTTACAAAGTTCCTGAATTACTCGGCTCTCAAAATTAGCGCCTTGGTCAGAGTGGATTCTTTCCGGGATGCCATAATGAACAATGAAGTGATTATAGAACATCTCGGCAGTTGTCTTTGCTAATTGATTTCTTGTGGGGATGGCCATGGCAAATCTGGTAAAATGGTCTGTGACAACCAGAATGTGTTTATAGCCTCCCTTGCATGGTTCCAGGGTAAGAAAGTCCATACAAACTAACTCTAATGGAGAAGTGGTTGTTATGTTTACCAAAGGTGCACGTTGATTTGTAGGGGTCTTTCTTCGTGTACATCTACCACACTCTTCTATCCAAGTTTCTATGTCTTTATGCATCCCTGGCCAGTAAAATCTGTCACGAATTAAGGATAATGTCCTGTCCTTGCCAGGATGACCCATGTCGTCATGAAGAGCTTCTAACACTGCAGACGCATGTTGAATGGGTAATACAAGCTGGTGTCTCGTTTCTTCATCTATACATGTGACACGATGAAGTACTCCATTTATTAGTTTAAGGTGGTTAAATTGTTTGAGTAGTGCACTGGATCCTATCTCTCTCCTTAATGGTTTCTGTTTACTTCTCACATACTCAATGACACGGTGTATGTCTGGATCTAAGGATTGTGCTTTAGCCCAGTCTATGATGTTACCAGTGCTGGTACCTCTTGGATCCATATCATCACGTACGACATCAGGTGAAAGAGTCAAAGATTCCACATATGAAGATACAGCGGAATTGCAAATAGCTTGGACTGTCTCAATGCTCATAGGAATACGGCTTAAAGCATCTGCATCAGCATTACTCTTTCCAGGTCTGTACTTAATGTCGAAGTTAAACGCTGCTAAAGCTGCCAACCATCTGTGACCAGTTGCGTCAAGTTTTGCTGTTGTTAATACATAAGTAACCGGGTTGTTGTCGGTAAACACTGTAAACGGTTGTCCGTATAAATAGTCTTTAAATTTATCACAGACGGCCCATTTAAGTGCTAAGAATTCTCTTTTGTGTGGTGGATAATTCTTTTCTGCTTTGTTTAAACCTCTGCTGGCGTAGCTTATAACACGTTTATGTCCATCTTGGTGTTGATATAGTACAGCTCCTAAAGCATCACCTGAAGCATCAGTGTGGAGTTCATAAGGGAGAGAACTGTTGGCATAACCAAGAATAGGTGCAGAAGTCAAATGTTTCTTGAGTGTTTCAAAAGCTTGGTCTTGTGCTGTTTCCCATTTCCATTCTTTTGGTTTCTTGTTCTTTCCTGTTTTCTTCTTCTTGAGTGGTGTTGGCATGAGATCTGTTAAGGGTCTGCTTATACGGCTAAAGTTTTCAATAAATCGCCTATAGTAGCCGACGAAGCCAAGGAATTTACGCACTTCTTCAGGACTGTTGGGTTTTGGCCAATTGATGACTCGTTCTGTTTTATCTGGATCCATTTCGACACCTTGTTCTGATACGACATGACCAATAAACTTCACTTTCCTCTTAAAGAATTCACACTTTCCAGGGGATATCTTCAGATTTGCCTCTCTAATGCGGTTAAATACTAATTTGATGTTGTGAAGGTGTTCC